AAGGAGAAATGAGTTTACTAGACTTTGTTCTTGCAGCAGTTGCTGTTATCAGGGAAAAGAGTTAATTTAGATTATGTACAATCTGCTCTTGGTCGCTGTAAAAGCCCCCACCAGTCACCCCGCCCCCGCCGTTTGCAGCCATTCTCCGGTTTCTCGATCAGCAGGGGACTGAACTGACCCAGATCGGGCTGCTGCTCCCGGGCCGTCGTGGGCTGCCTCCATCTTAGATGTGACTTAGCCCTCCGCACGTCCCTTCGGGAGCAGGGACTCCCTTTTTTCTCCTCCTCCTCCAGCCTTACTCTCAGCCAGGTTTTCCTCATTTCAGATTTTCCTGCAACTCATCGCCTAATGAGTCATGCCTGGCGATGCTTTTCACATTATTTATATTAAGCCTCGAGATGACGGCATCTGTGCTCGGAAAGACGTGCAGCACAAGGACCAGAACCGACACCCAGGGCCGGGGCGGGCGGCGGGGCGCTGGGCGAGGTGAGGCGCCCGGAGCGCCCGCCCCTCGCGGGTACCTGGCCGCGGCGGGCAGGGGGCGGCGCCGCGCCGCGTCACGCGGGCGGGTGGGAGAGCGGGCAGGTGACACCGGCGGCCTCCTCGCCCTTGCAGCTCAGTCGCGGCCGGGACGGCAGGGGCCGCTGTGAGGAGCTCCGCGCCGCGCCGCCACCCCGCTCCGCGCCCCGCGCTCCGGCTCCGCTGCCCGCGCGGTGAGTGCGGGCCCCGGCCGGCGGGCCGGGCCAAACTTTCGCGGCGCGCAGAAGAGGCGGGGGAGGGAGGGGCCGGGGAAGGGCGTCGCGAGCGGCCGGAGGGAGGCAGGGAGGCACCGGGGCGCGGCGCGCGGGCGGCGGGTGCGGGGGGCTCGCGGAGCCCGGCCAGGCCCGCCCCGGGCTGCGGGGAGGCGCTTTGGAAGTTCTGTCCGCACGGCCTGCGCGCGGAGGGCCAAGGCCGCCGTCCGCCGGAGCGCGGGGCCGCCGCGCCACCTGCCCGCCGGGGAGCCCCCGCCGCCGGCATCCCCGAGGGAAGGTCGCGGCCGGCGGGCGCGCGGCGAGCGGAGCCGGGCGGGGGTCCCCGCGGGGCGCCGGGAGGGGCAGAGGTGCTCGCCGGCGGGACCGGCAGAGAGAAGGACCTGCTCGACCTTGGACGCCGAGGTCATTCTCCCAGCGCCGGGACCTGGCTCGCTGGCCATGCCCTCGCATTCCCGAGCCCTTTCGTCCTGTTTCCTTCCTGCCCCTCTGGGCGCCGCGTCCTCGCGGCCGGAGTCGAGTCGGGCGCTGCTCTCGGAGCGGGGCGCTGTCTCCCTCTCGGCTCCGCGAGCCGCATCCCGTCCCGGCGGCTGCTGCTGGCAGCTGAGGAGGGTGATGAGTACAGAGCTGTGGAACAGGTCATACCTGAGATGGAAATGGGGAAGCCTGTTGTGCTGGCGTCTGAAGGATCGTTCATCGGGACCCGGGCCTTCCCTGCAGTCAGTCCGCTGATGCCGACGTACCGGATGCGAGGGAGAGCGCTCTGGGCGCTCCCTGGGGAACTCCGGACGCGAAGGATCCGGTCTTTGCCCCGACCCCGCTCCCAGGGTAGTCGGGCAAACAGGTCCCAAACCGCCTGAAGAATAGTTTCAGCGACCCGAGTCCCTCCCTTACTGGTCTTTTCCCTCTTGCTGCTGCTATATGCTTTCCTTTGGAAAGCATTTTCGCTTCACCCTGTGCTCGCAGGTTATCCTTTATTGATCGCACTCCTCGCTTTTATTGCTTAACTGCTCTGAAAGAATCATCAATACTTTGTGTCTGTCCCAGCCTTCTTACCTCGCACTTGCTTATTAATTCACTTATTTTGTAGCTTCTACTCGTACTACTGATCAGAAATTGGTCTCCCCAAGGTCACCTAGGGCTAAATAAAATTCCCCGCGCCAATGGTAGACATTCATCAATGTTTAGGTGCCAGGCACTGATCTAAGTACTCGTGTTAACTCTCAGTCTTCACAACGATCCAGTGATGTAGGTAATATTATTCTCATTTTAACGAGGAGGGAACTGAAGCACAGAGAGGTTAAGTAACTTGCTCAAGGCCACACCTATGGGAGCAACAGGAGATTCCAGCTCTGGGGCTCAGGCTTCGGTGCTGCCGCTGTTAACCACTGCCCTGTACTACCTCACTTAGGGTTCCTCTCCTCGTCCTTATTCTCCTGAAGTCCTGTGTGCGCAGGACTCATTCAGGCATCATTGACCAGGCTCTAAATCTCAGGTCCCTATTTTCCTTGTGTGTCTTTGTACAGTTTAGGCTCTTAAGAAAAAAAAAGAAAAATAGATTCATAGAACTTTGTTGCTTCCTCCATCAACTGCTACTTATGTGGCTTAAGATTCTGTTGCTTTCTAGGTGTCTTCCTTAGTTTTCGTGTAACATCTCTCTGTGCAAATGATGATACTCCATTTGGACTTGCCCTGCTTTCCCCCAAAGCATCTCTAGGTAATTTCTATCAGGGGCTCCACCGTTATCCTAGTCACCAGCATGCAAAACTCAATAGCCCTGTCTCATGTCATCTCTCTCCCAGTCATGACATGTCAGAAGGTTCAACTTTTACCTGGTTTCTCCTAGCCTTTGTCAGTCTCACCCACTCCCATCTTCTTGTCACTACTCTCCCTCCTCCCTACCCATGAACGCTCATTTATCGTTATCATATGCCGTTTTCTACTGTGGATCATCTTTTGTGTTTGCTTTCCATAAGAAGATTGTAAACAACTTAGGACATTAAATCTTCAGGCCTTACAGCCAATAATTGCTTGAGATTTGTAGAATAATATAAACAATATAAATTCAGGTAGCACAGATGGGATGAGTTTGATGATGGTGGGAATTTTTAAGCGAGGTTTTACAGGATGTTAAGGAGTTTGCATTGGTACCCACAGGGGAGCTGGCAGACATTGTAAAAGAAGGGGATAAAAGCTTATGCTCACTCCATTGCTACAGTCAGGTACCCATTTACGTTTAGAGGTATAATGTAGTATGGCCAAATCAGCAGAGAACCATGAATCCTTATCGTAACAAAACAAGATATGAAACCACAGTAAGTTAAAATAACTAACCCTTTTGATTAAAAAATATACCACATAAAAGTGCATAAAATATAAATTAATAGATTAACACAGTACATATATTTGGCAGTAGAATTACTGTCTTATTCTGATGGTAGATATGATAGTTGGATGAGGCTGCAGTCAGGCCAAATAGGAATCTTTTCATAAAATCTGTGTAAGGTAATGCAGTCCTGGACTAATACTAAGAGGCGTTGCCAAGAAAGAATCGGCTGTGCTTGGGGAGGTTTGAGGTGAGGGAGAAGCCTGGATCGCGGTACCAAAAAGGTGAGATTGGAGAGCCAAGAATAGAGTTCTGACCCACTGAGCATAATTCTACCGCAATGAATATTTTGCCATTTTGCCTCTCTCTTTTTTTTTTCTATGTATATTTTCCTACATCATACTCCATATAGAATTTTGGTATTCTGTGTTTTCCATATAATAGTAAGCATTTTTCATCTTACATAATTTTTAAAACTCTTATTATTTATATTCCAGTAATTATGATGTGATTTACTTAACTAATACTCTATTGTTAGATGGGTATATTAGCAACAAATTCTAAACAACCTAAGTTATAGTAATACTTATCTTTGCAGATATATCATTTTACAAATTAGGGATTGTTTTCTTATAATAGTATTCCAGAAGTGGAATTACTTTGTCAACAAGTATGGTCATTTTTATGGTTCTCAGTGCACATTGTCAGATTTCTAAAAGCAATTTTAAAAGCAGGATCAATGCATTGTATCTACCTTTTCTTCCTATGAAGTAACAGCAATTCAATTCAATATGAACATATTATGAAATACTGTATCAATTTCCTAGGGCTTCTGTAACCAAGTAACCACAACCTGGGTGGCTTAAAACAGCAGAAATTTATTGTTTCATAGTTCTGTAGGCTACAAGTTTAAAATTAGGGTGTCATCAGTGTTGCCTTCTGAAGGCTCTTAGAGAGAATCTGTTCCATGCCTCTCTCCTAGCTTCTAATGACAGCTGCAATCCTTGGCATTCCTTATAGAGGCATCACTCTAATCTCTGCCTCTGTCTTCACATGGTTTCTCCCTGTGTCTTCACATGGCCATCAGCTTATAAAGACACCAGTGATATTGAATTAACGGCCCATGCTGCTCCAGTATGACTTCATCTTAACTGATTACATCTGCAAAGACCCAATTTCTAAATAATGTTACATTCTGATGTATTGGGGTTAGGACTTCAGCATATTTTTTTCAGGGGGGGGGACATAATTCATCCTATAATATGAACTATGCTACACATTAGAATGTACATAAAAGAAATCCCCTGTCCTCAATTTCTAGTCAAGTTGAAGTAGTAGAATTTTTTCTAATTTTAAAAATTGCTTATTTTCCATGATGTGCTACTTGTGCATATCAGTTTAGGGTATGGAAGGATGCTATTTACTAGACAAATAAATTTAGAGTTATTGTAAATATAGTAGCATGTTAAACTGAGGAATAACTTGGAATTTCAATAATACACATCATACAGCATGGAAAGAAGCATACCATAAACAACATTTCTTACATGTATTTCTTGTGACTTATCCAATTTTGACCATTTACAAAGTTATGAAAAGTTGAAAGCTAATGCAAATTGGGCATTTTATGAGATTGGTCTTCTAAAAAAATCAAAGTTTTCATTTTTCCTAATTGATTTAGATATAGTAAAATCACATATTGGCAAGTGAAATTATCCTTTTTGTAAATGACAGAATTAGGCATACCATCTTAAGTATTTCTTAAGAGACTATTATTCAAATTAAGTAAGTGGCTGGGCGCGGTGGCTCATGCCTGTAATACTAGCACTCTGGGAGGCCGAGGTGGGAGGATTGCTTGAGGTCAGGAGTTCAAGACCAGCCTGAGCAAGAGTGAGACCCCAGTCTCTATTTAAAAAATAGAAAAAAAATTAGCCAGGCATGGTGGCTCATGCCTGTAGTCCCAGCCACCCAAGAGGCTAAGGCTGGAGGCTTACATGAGCCCAGCAGTTTGAGGTTGCTGTGATCTAGGCTGATACCATGGCACTCTAGCCTGGGCAATGGAGCAAGACTCTGTCTCAAAAAAATAAAAAATTTAAATAAGTGTCCATGTAACTTACAGGTCTTACAGGTTAAAGACAAATCTTAATCAATATGGACAAGCAGCCACTTAGACCATGAACACGAGTAGCCTGGCTTCTTGTCATCTCTAATATAAGGTAATAGAGCCAAACCTAGACAAAATTTGGGAGTATCAGAAATTGTATACCACACAAACATTTGGGTGCTAGCTTTGTGTCAGGCAAAGTGGCTGGCAAGATGCTAAGACCAGTCCAGGTCTGGGCGGGGTACAGGGAGGTAAACATCACAAAGTTACAGTACAATATGCTAAACTGTGCTGTGTGTGATATACACAGACATGGTGTTGGGAGGCAGAGCAGAGTGAGGCAAACAGAGTCCTCCGAGCTGAAAGAAGGAAGAGTGGGAGTTAGGGCAGCTGCAAAATGGGAGGGAAGGGAAATCAAATTTAGGCAGACATAATGCAGGTGTGATCACACAGAATTGGAAATACTTTACAGAAGAAGGTGTGAGATAAGGTTGCCTAGGCATGCAGGAGCCAGGTTTACTGAGAGCCTTGTTTGACCTACTAAAGATTTTGGGTTTCATCTTGAAGTCAACGGAGCCGTGGGAGACCTATAAGAAAGCGAAGGACCTGTTGAGATTTGTATTTTGAAAGCATCCCTAGCATTTACCACTTTACCTTTCTGAGACCTCACCTCCTCCTATCAAGTCTCTATCTCATTTCTCTATCTGATCTGGAAAGGACAGCTACCTTCATTGTTTACATTAGATATCTTGATTATGCTTAGCTTGCATATGAGTTTTGGAATAGAAAATAAATTTCATGGACATCCTCTGTGCCTCTGTGCTTATAGGATGCTCAAGCCTGCATTTAAGTTTTTAATCTCTTAGTGACAATTACAAGGTAACAAATTTGGTCTCTTTTAGGCATAATAGTTGCAGTGAGGCACTTAGTATGCATTTTCTCATGACTTTTCTGAAGCCAGCAAGGTCTGGCTCTTCATATGCATAGGTACAGAAAGGTGAAAAAAAGAGAAAGAGTCTTCAGGCTACACTGGTGAAAGTATGGAGCCAGGATTTAAACTCAGGTTTAATTACAACATTTAGGCGTTTCCCGTTCTGCATACTAACACTGTGGGTTGATAGTTTAGCCTGTATAAGAGATGCTAGGACACTGATATAGAATAGTTTTGCAAGTGCATGAGGCAACCATATGAATAAACCTGATTTATGCCCCCTTTTTGGGGGCAGTGGTAGAAATGTAAAATTTAGAAAAAGAGAGTTTCACCAGTAGCCCTTAACCTAAATATAGTGCCCCCTGTTCCTTTCTGTTCCAAACTTCTGGGTTTTGTCCTAATAGCACATTTGTGATTTATTTGTTTATTAGAATTAAATGACCTAAGAAGGGCAGAACAAAAGTAAAGGGTGCTTGTTACTTGAAGGTGACTTACTGTAAGTCTGTCCAGAGGCTTGTCTGCCTGTTGTCCTGCCTGTTGTTTTTTTTTTGTTGTTTGTTTGTTTTGTGCCTTTTTAGGCAGACAGTGCTGTCTTTGATCCTGAGGGCCCAAAAGATTTATGTCTCAGAAATCAACCAACCAACCAACCATGTTCACCTGCATTTTAATTCCTCTGCTGCTTGTTCAGTTAGCTCAAAGGCACATACTGGTACCTTCATGCTTCTTCCTCGTCTTTGTAATTCTAACAGGTATGACTTTAACTTGAAGAAAGGAAGAAGGTAGAAATGACCTTCTTAGGAATCCAGAATCTAATTATTGATTATTCATTAGCTTAAGGTGAGTTCCTGAGCAAATGTGTAATGGAATTTTTTAAGTCAAAAAATAGTGAGAACAACTATTTGTTATTCAAAGGAAGAAAAAAATGTGTGGTGAATGTCACATTTAATATTATAGTCAGTATTTTAAAAATAAAATGTGTGTATATAAAATATATATATAAAAATACATATACATGTATATATATACGTGTGTGTATGTATGTGCATATATATAGTTGAACATGCGATTGTCATTTCTAAAGGTAGACAATCCCAGCTGGTTATTGGCAACTTGCATATAGTTCATCCTAATACAAATACAATCCCATCAATGTCAGTTGACCTATGAGCCTATACTCTTTTGTTTCCCAATAAAGCAAACTGGGTTGTGCCCAGGCAGGATGAACACTGGCTTCTAGTAGTCAGTTCCCTTCTCCACCTGCAAGGTTATTGGCTTAACAGCAATTTGTTGTATTTATTGCAAACATCTTTTTTTTTTTAACCAACTGAACATTGTCCCAGATATTGCAAACATCTTGGTGCCAATTATACCAGTTATTGTGATAGATCATTTAGATAAGTGTGTAAACTTATGAAACATAAGTATTATACAAAAGGAAAGAGTATTATTATTTCTGTGAAAGCAATGTTAAGTTCTTTGGAAAGATTCCCTAAAAGTGAGTTGCAAAGAAAGTGGTCAGGAAAACTGTAAAAGATCAGAAATAAAATTGTAAAAACTTGAAAGATAATAACCTGAGCTTTCTTTACAACTTTGTTTAGTTGTTTTGTTTTTGTGGTTTTTTTGTTTGTTTTGGGGACCACTTAGAAAATTAAAACTGGAAACTGTAGAAGATAAGTTCTAGGCATGGTTTATATCAGACAAATATTGGTTAGGACCTCTTCCTCAAGGAAAGTCTTAGAACTACTTTGGAAAATTGGGGAATTTGATGCCTATTTATGTATTTTAAGGTAAAGTAAGTATTTATAAAGGTAAGTAAATACTTTTTTGATTCATCACTATAAACAACTTTTTGATTAACCAGAACTAGTCAAAATTGCTGTTCCTATTAGTCTCACAGTAATAGTTTATGTTATAGTATTGTAAGGAGTCAAAATCTTTGCTTCTGGAGTTACTCTATGTACCTGTGTTAATAAAGACAAAGTGAAACTTTGCCGCTGGGAATGTAATACAGCAGAATACATATTTTTCTTTGTTTAGCATACTATGTATTCAATCAACTCATACTTCTTATTTTAAATTTGGTTTTTAGCATTCTTATAACATTTGAGTTTATTTTAATAATATGAACCCATATGTAGAACTTAGAGCTGGTTCCTACCTGCCTTAAATGACTTACATAAAAATTGAAAGCAAAAATACATAGTATAGCATTAGCTAGAGTCTATTAAACTTGATAAATTTCTTAGTGCTATTAAGCTGATAAGTTTAAGTGGTTAAGGTATAACTTTAGATTCAAATAGTAATTATAGAAGTTTGTAATTCTTTTCTGAAGTATTAACAGGTTAATGAAAAAAGACTGAACTTATAAAATGAGAAAAATAAAAGTATATTTTATAATAATAGCATTTATTAAGCACTGGCTATATATTAATGCCAGCCACTGTGCTAAATTCTATATGTGCCTTATCTCATTTGATCTTTATAAAAGCCCTCCCAAGGTGATATTGTTTCAATTTTCTAAACAAGGAAAGTGATGTCAATAGGAGTTCAGAAATTTGCGCAAGGTCACATTATTAGTAACAACACTGGAAATCAGACCCTGTTCAATATACACTTCAATGCCCATGTACTTACCACTTAGTCATTTTAATCTGAATTTTGGATGTAGGTCTTTTTTTTTTTTAAAGAGACAGGGATCTCGCTTTGTTCACTAGGCTGGTCTCAAACTCCTGGGCTCAAGGGGTCCTCCCGCCTCAGCCTCCTGAATGGCTGGGACTGCAAGTATGTGCCACTGTGCTCCAAGTACCAGCAGTTGGGGAGTGGGGAAGTGAGACAGGGAAATGTTATGAGGAGGCCACTACCACTGTGGGCACCTGGGGCTCAGTCCCATTGGGATGTCCCTGCGAGTTATCCTATCCAAGGGGCTAAGATGTGAAACCTTTGCTGGGACATGAGCATGTAGACTGTTTTTTAAAGACAGTGTTTCTAGCCTCAAAGGACCTTAGAGGTTGTTTAGGCCCACCTGTTTTAATGCTGAGGACACTGAGGCCCAGTGAAGCCAAGTTGATCTGCCTATTTAGGCTATTTAACCTATTTAGCATGTTGGGACCAGAAACAAGTTCTTTCAACCAAAGCCCAGGGGCCTTTGTGACTTATAATCATTTTTCTCTTTGTTAGCCTTAACTCTGAATATGGCTTTACACTGAATTTTTGAAGCTCCTAAATCACCTTGCTCTGTCTTTGTCTACTAGTAACAACATTCATTACTCCTTACAGCGTTACTGGAGAACATGACCGGGCAAGGATTATACATCCTCCGTGTAACAATCAAGTAGGAAAACCAAAGCTCAGGGCATTGCAGTGACGTACCTAGTTCTGAGGCCCACGTGTTATAAAACCTAACCCTGAACCACAACTGAAAGTGTAAAAGAAAAAAATATATTTTAGCAGAGATGATTAAATCATCTAGCCCAAGCCATGGGCTTTCTTTTCATCCAACAGCCCCTATTCTTTGTTTAGGGCTTAGTTCATCCCCTTTAGGTGATTGCCTGAGTATTTTATGGAGGTAGTTTTGTGAGGCTGGATAGGGGTGAGATTAATGGAGAGGCAGTGCCCACTGCTTTGCTGTGCACTCTCTTCAAAATCTGTCAGTCCCCAACCTTTGGTTTTATCATTTCATCAGTAAGCAGAGCAAGGATGGGTTGCTAGCCATCTCCTCACTAAGAGGCAAATATGGTTGTTGCTCAATTCTATTGCAGCCCTGTGTGGTATGTGCTCTTAACTCAATTTTAGAGACCAAAAATCTGAGGCTTCAAGAAATGTAAGTGTTTTTTTTCCCAACGTCATCTGAGTGGGGAGTAGCAGATCTAGGTCTAGAGTGCAGAAATTCTGGTTATACATCCTGCTACTTATTATGTGTGGTCTTACAATCTATTTTTTTATCTTTAGGAAAAAAGTACTGGTTGGGGGAGGCAGATAATATGCTTATGAAGTAGGAAGACTGCAAAGTTTGCATATGATCACACATAATTTACATTCCACTTTTTTTCCAAAAAAGACTTAAAATGCTCACAGTAAATATATTAAGATCCAAGCATAGAAGGGGAAAATCTAGGTGATGGAGTTGTGATTAATGGAACACTAAATTTTAACTGTTAGCTGGGAGCTCATATTAAAAGAGTAACTACAACTCTAATGGTCTATTTCCTTTAAAGCATAATCCATAAGATATTTTTTTTTCCTAGAAGTGAACTGTAAAAGGTATTTATCAAGTAGGCTCTTCTAAAGAGGATCTCGAATCACTTTATGGATAGTATTTGAAATAACAGTTTTGCTGAGGACTCAGAGATTTTTTAATACTAATATTGGTTATTGATAGCTCACTTACTATGGATGGTAATGAAGATAAACTCTTTGAGCATTTCTCCATAGGCTCCAGGGCTAATAAGGTTCTCGTAATGATACAGAATAACAACTCTAGCACTGGGTAGAGCAGAGCTTCTTAAACTTGAGGGTGGTCTGTAGATGGACTTTGGAAGGTCTATAAACTCTCCAAATTATCAAATTTGTGTATGCATGTAATCTCTGGGGAGGTGGCCCCTGGTACCATAGTCTCAAAGTTTAAAAGCTGTTGATTTAGAAAGGCATAAAATAATATATGTAAAATGCTTAATAAAGTTTAACTTTATTTGTCTACATGTAAAAGATTAGCTTTTAGTGCTAATATTAAAATTAGGCAGATCAGGCCGGGCGAGGTGGCTCACGCCTGTAATCCTAGCTCTCTGGGAGGCCGAGGCGGGCAGATTGTTCAAGGTCAGGAGTTCAAAACCAGCCTGAGCAAGAGCGAAACCCCGTCTCTACTATAAATAGAAAGAAATTAATTGGCCAACTGATATGTATATAAAAAATTAGCCGGGCATGGTGGCGCATGCCTGTAGTCCCAGCTACTCGGGAGGCCGAGGCAGTAGGATCGCTCGAGCCCAGGAGTTTGAGGTTGCTGTGAGCTAGGCTGACGCCACGGCACTCACTCTAGCCTGGACAACAAAGTGAGACTCTGTCTCAAAAAAAAAAAAAAAAAAAAAAAATTAGGCAGATCATGCTGACATGAACCAACTGTGTAGACTATCCATGTTACAAGGACACAAGTAGTACAGACACTAGCAAAAAGATAACTCCTATGTCCATGGTAGTTTTCATTTTTGTTGTCCTAATTCTCTAGGAAGAAAGGTTTCTACGTTTTAAATGTTAAGTCAATATTCACTCATTTATGTAATAAACATTAGCTATTTGCTATGTGCTAGACACTGGAGATATAAAAATGTAGAAAACATCTCCCCTCCTCATTTCTTTATCTCATACTCATCTAAATTAGCAGCAATCTTGTCAGCTGTGTCCACAAAATATATCCTGAATCCATCTACTTCAGTAGGCTCCTAATCCTACTGTCTTCCTATAATCAATTCTCTACCAAGCAACTAAATTAATTTTTTAAAACATAAATCAGATTATATCACTGCTTTGCTTAAAAGCCTCTGATGAGAGGTTCAGTTTTACAAATTGAAAAGAGTTCTGGAGGATGGATGGTGGGTGATGGTTGTACAATGGTATGAATGTATTTAATACCACTGAAATGCACATTTAAAAATGGTTAAGATGATATATTTTCTGTTGTGTATTTTACCATAATTAAAAAAATTGAAAAATAGTCATACTACAAAAAAAAAAAAATAACCAACCAAACAAAAAATACTCTGGTTTCCTCTTGCACCTAGAATAAAACCCAGGCTCCTTAACTACAGTCAGAAGACCCTGCATGCCCGTCTCTCTGAGCTGTCCAG